ACCCACGACTGCACCCATCACACAACTGTGGTAGGTCACATCAGCCATGAGACCTACGACAGGAGTGAAGTTAAACATCTGGCTGAGTCCCTGAACGTGGAGAAGACCGAGGAGATCATCATAGACTTCAGGAGAACTCTGCACACCCCACTAACCACCAGCTGCTGTGGAGAGAGTAAGCAGCACCAAGTTCCTGGGTGTGCACATCTCAGAACATCTCTCCTGGTCAAAGAACAGCAGCGTGGTCAGTAAAGCCCAACAGCGACTCTACTTCCTGCTCAAACCGAGGAGAGCGAGAGCCTCAACCCCCACTGTGAGCAGCTTCTACAGAGCATCCTCACAGCTGCATCACTGTGTGGCTGCTGCACTGGGTCTGCAGGAAGCAGCTACAACGAGCAGCGAGAGCAGCGAGAGGATCGTGGGTGCTTCTCGGCCCTCTCTCCAGGACATCTGCTGCACCCGCCTCACCCAAAAAGCTCTCTGCATCACAGTGACTCCACCCATCCGTCCAACAGCTTCTTCAGTTTGCTGCCATCAGGAAGGAGACTGAAGAGCCTCGAGGCCAGAACCAGCAGACTGAGAGACAGCTTCATCCCTCAGGCCGATGCTGAACTCAACCAGACCTGCACCCACGTCTGCCCTCTGACCCACAGACACTCGGATTGGACACTGTTGTGTGTATAAGACGTGTTGTTTAGTGCAACACTGAGGGCCAGGAGCAGTTTCCTGTGTACATGTCGTTTTTCACAATAACGTTGACTTTGATGACGCTCTTTGCTAAACAATAAAATCAGAATAAAATCGCTACATAATAACAGTCCTGCTCTCAGCTCGAGTTTCATCTGTCAGTGAACTCTGCTGACCACAGTCTCATTTAAACGTCTCCACGCTCAGCCCTCTGTGGGTGTAGATCCACTCAGCCCTCTGTGGGTGTAGATCCACTCAGCTCTCTGTGGGTGTAGATCCACTCAGCCCTCTGTGGGTGTAGATCCACTCAGCCCTCTGTGGGTGTAGATCCACTCAGCCCTCTGTGGGTGTGTCCTTCATGTTGTACTGCCAGGGTCTAGTTATTTTCTGAAACCTTCTCTTTGCTCTAAACTGAAAATGATTCAGAAACTTTACATTTTAGATTTACGTGATTTGTCCGGAGACGCTCTGGAAACTTCTGGTTCATTATGACATCACAGCGTGTCACAGGAAGTTCAGTGCGCGTGCCACTGTTGAGACCTGGCTGAAAGGTGAGCCTCACCTGCGTGAGTGACTTTTTTCTGAAGCACAAACACCAGAAAAAATAAAATCGTTTTTATTTTATTTTATTTTTTATGTACGTTACGACGCGCTTTGTCAGCTCGTGACGTCACGGACGTTGGTCACGCCCCATCAAAACAAAACAAAAAGAAGATGGCGCCCTGGCCCAAGCGTGGCGGTGGTCCTGGCGCCTGTCGGCCCCCCCCCGCTGACCGGCCTCGGTGCCCGCTGTCCCCCGGCCCGGTAATCCGGTCTGCCCGCCTCTATCCTGACAGCCGCGGCTCGGTTCAGCTCCTCCACAAAGATTCCACTGACCAATGAGCTACAGAGCCACCCGAACAGGAAGTGACGTGTCTGTGCGGACCAATCCGCAGTTGTAAAACGGCAGCGGTCGGAAGGCCCGCCCCCTGACTGTCGAACCGGAGCGCGCCTGGAGAAGAGCCGTGCGAACCCGTCCGAGCTCCGCGGTGCCGCTCCAGTTTCAGGTAAGCCCGGCCCGGCTCGGCCCGGCCCGGCTCGGCTCGTCCCGGCGTCACACGCAGGCCCCGCTGAAGCTTTCGGAAGGCGCTCGACGTGCAGCGACGAGCTGCCCCCGGCGGGGCGGTGCAGACGCGCTGCGTGCTGAGCTCTGGTCCTGATCGGGAGCCCGGTGACCCGGCTCGGCTGGGCCCGCTCGGTCTGTAGGTCCGGGTCCCCGCCGACAGGCGCGTCTCAGCCGGGTTGAAAGGAACAAAAACCCGGAGAGCGGGCCGAGCGCCCCCTGTGGCAGCAGCTGCCATTACACCTGCAACTACAACTGATTGAACCCAACTTTATTTAAAAAGATTTCCCGACGTCAGAGTTTGTGCAGAGCTGCTGTTGTTTAACGTCACCGTCAGCTGAGCGAATGACGCCTTTATTAATCATACCACTACTTTGTTTAAAATAAGGGCCGTGACAGAGAGACAGAGCGGCAGAAGGCATCGAAACGTCACAGTGACCGGAAGTCCGTCCACACTAACGCCACTACCGTGATTGTGCGCGTGATCAGCGGGGTCAGGTCATCCTGATCAGTGTGTTCGGCAGGTGTTTGACTGCACAGGTGTCCTCATTTAAATCATCAATGTTGAAACCGGGACTGAACTGCGCAGCTGCGAGGTTCACTGACACAAACATCAGAGTGATGCTGATCACACCTGACCGTCCTCAGGCCGTGAACGCACCACAGAGTAGTTCAGCTGATTGGTCCCTTCAGTCCGTGAAGGACATGTCTGTTTGTAGTTTAATGTCACTGTGGTAACGCTGAGAGACGACTGCGCCTGTCTCTCATTGGTCTGTGGGCTCACAGGTGTTCTCTGAAACTAAACGCACTCGAATATTTACAGGTAAAGTTACCTGTGAAAAGATCACCTGCTCACCTGGCTCTCAGGTTAAATATAACTCTGAGCTGCAGGTGTGCAGTACCAGTGTACCGACGTCATGTGACGTAGCGGAAATGCTGCTGGTCAGATTTTTCTTTTATCGTGGTTACAATGATGGTTTCTCTGGTGGTTTCCATAGCAACATGGATACAGAGTTGTTTATGGAGTGTGATGAGGAGGAGCTGGAGCCATGGCAACAGGTGGATGACAGTGTGGAGGAAGATGACATGGACTTCATGGACAACTACGGAGAGCCAGGTGAGTCTCAGGACCAGGTCCAAACTCTGAAACCAGTTCTGGACCCGAGTCGAACCAGAACCAGACTCTCTCCCTCTCTCTCTCTCCATGCAGTGGAGGATTCTCCATCTCCACTCCCAGTCTCTGAGACTCCACCTCCAAGGACCCCCCCACCCATCACACCTGCTGCAACAGGTATGTGTTCGGTGTTTCTTTGAATAGCTGATGACACAACAGGACAGAGACGGCGTCTTCACTTGGATGCTCAGATCAGCTGTTTACTGTAGACTCTGTAACTTACAGCAGGTTGACTGTGTGATCTAACGAGATGAATAAAGCTGCGTTTACAGGTGTCGTCAGGTTCAGGTGTTGAGTGTGGCCGCTCTCTGTCTGATGTTCGTGTGTCAGAGCAGCAGAGCTAACACAGCAAAGGGTCAGCAGGTCAAAGGTCAAAGCCGCAGAGCTTCAGCAGCTTTGTTGGAGAACCAAACGTGACTGAAGCTGATCCTGGAGCAGCAGAGACGCTGTGAGCTGATCCTGGGATGTGGAGGAGCAGTCTGTGCTTCCGCGTCCCTCCGTAAAAGCTT